CCCCTCACCTTCCTCTTTCTCGGCTTGTGGGCCGTTTCCACAACAATGACAACGCTGTGATGCTGGAAGTAGAAGCAGAGCCTAGATAATTGTTAATGAAGTCGACTTCTTGAGAGGCTGAGGAAGCTATTTGGTAAGGCCTTATTGCATGCAGCAGTCCATATATCAATGTCACAGCGCCACTTTACTCTCTCCTCCCTTTCCATTAACAGACCATCAGCAATTTCTACCTTCCTGGCTGGGTATTATCCACATATATTGTTTCACAATGTCTTCGAAGCAGACCCTGACGCTACTTTTCTGCATAAATACTCGCATTTCACACTTCACTTTCCACTTCGCTGCACAAACAGTTTATCTTATTACAAGGTGTACAGGAGTAAAATGATGTGGTTTCTAGTGTCAGGAAGATATTTATTTAATACCTATAAAAGTGAGATTCCTGTAAATTAGGCGATCATCGGGCGACATCTCCCATGTGGCACTTTTCCAAGGTTGAATCCTCTCTCTAACCACTAACTGGCCCTATTCTATTTTGGCTCTTTTGTCCAATCGGATTTCAGGGAATGCCTACTAACATTGCATTGTGCTTTCGAGGTACCATCAGCGACGAATGTAAGGTGCAATTGGACCCATACTTTCAATATTTATCATTACCTGTAGAATTCACCATGTGAAGGAAACACTACAACCACTTTCTTAAAAATGACCATTTGGCAGATATATTTGCTAAGCGCAAAAACTTAGGGGCTTCAATATAAGCTGAAGGGGACGTCCACTTACCCACAGGCATTGTGTTAAAGGTCTTGCTAGGGTAGGCAGTCCGCTGCATGAACGAATCGCAAAGAAGTTGACTAAGAATTTCGAGTAAGGCAGAGCATAATGACACATTTAAGGGACTGAAGCAAACTCCTTGCTCAGCACCGAATTCAGCAATATCCAACTTTAAATCGAATCCTCTCTGGCTTGTGCTGGATACGGACACGAATGACGCAGGCGTGGGTGGTGGACCAACAAAAGGGGACTAAGAAGGAAGAAAACGCGTCACCGTCATGGCGAGTACCAGACTCGGCAAAAATGTGACAAAATAGTACAGCACAATGTAGGCTGTTTGCTATCTACACAATGGTTTGACAGTTCAAACGCTACCTGATAATGAGGCAGTTCATATTTAGAACTGATCATCAGGCACTCACCTGCTTAAAATCAAGGGAGGAGATCGGTTGTAGACTGGTAGCAGCAGAAGCAGGTGAAGCTGTAGTGTGTATCATATTTCAAGCAAAAGCACTAAGCACAATTGGTAAGATGCGCAGAGAACTGATTCCGACAAGGCTCCAATGAAAGAGGGGTACCTGACGACCTCTTGCTAAACCCATAGTAGAAGAGATGAACTGTTTAGGAAAGTGGCTAGGTGGTTATGACAGGAATGGTCGGAACTGCCTCTATGGCATGAACTTTTATGGTAGCAAAATGGCGACGAATCTTCTAGGCATCTAGCGGTCCCTGGCTTATTTTTGCAAACACTTTCTTAAGAGTTATGCAAGCACCTGGGTCATGTGTGTGAAATAGGGGTACCAGATGCCTTTAGCAAAAGATACTGGCTACCGTAGCTTACTCCAGACCTACTGGATCTCTGCAGAACCTATATCACCTGCAGAAGTTTCCAAAGGCTTCAGCCCACAGCGTTGGTACTACTGCAACCTCAACTGATCGGCTTTCCATGGAAAAGAGTGCGTACAGACATCACGGGTCCTCTACCGCCCACCTCAATTCTCTTTGGTTATGGCAGTCTAACTTGCGATGGTAGCTGGGGCCAAATCCTTTAAGATACAAGACTTAGAAGAGGATGCTTCAGTTGTCTTCACTTGGTGGATTTGTCAGCGTGGAGTGCTCAAATTCGTTCATTTCGATCACACCCGTAACTTGGAAAGCCAACTCTTTACTTAACTGTGCATGACCCTTCAGATCTCAAAGACGCGCACTCACCTGTGCATCTGGAAGGCAGTGGACAGGTGCACTATCAAATGACTGGAACTTAACCTAGGACGTGACCTCCTCACGTGTAGGGCCACGGTCCCGTACATTGATTGACGTTTCACCGTTCCAAATGCTCACACGTCATGAAATGAGAGTGCCTTCCGACACCTTCCTGCCACAGCAGAAGTAGCCGAAGTGGAGTGTCTGCAAGATGACGCATCGCCTACGACTGTTTTATGCCACACAGAAGAAATAGTGCGCCAAACATAGCCGGACAAATGTATACAAATGTGCAGCCCGATTTTCCTACCTAAAACACACCTCAGGTTTTACACCTTGAAGTGATGATTCACTCCGAGTGGTGACAAGTCTTTCACCTCAGCCATTAACCGCACAGACAACATGGTATAACTCTACAAAGAGACAACCACTGGGACATGTGGATGATATTGATGCACTAAGAGGAGAAAGGAAACCACCCGATGGCACATTCAAAACAACTGCAATGGGGTGCAACGCAGAAAGATGCTAAAAAGGACGATGGGTCTATACAATGGTTATGTTGCTTGACAGTGCCTTAGTCAAAAAGCAGGCGAGCAACTCAAGCCTGTTGATAGAAGAGCCGTCAGAATTCCCCCAGGCAGAGAAGGGTTCGGTACCCACAATCTCCGAAACTTGCCTCTGGCAAAAAAAACATTCCCATCAAGCCATCGCGTTTGTTTAAAGAATTCGAAGGCCGGTGGAGGAGACAGGTGAGGAACGTGGTGCAGTACTTATGCGCAATTAATGTAAAGTGCTTGACACATTTAAACTCAATAAATAATAATTCAAATACCTGTTGTTTATTTATTTTAGCTACCCCACCCATCTACTTCAGTGGGTTTTGGTACTCCGCTAATCTCCTTACTCGTCAGCTTTTATGTACTG